GTTGGTTGTTTGACAGAACATGGTGCCGCACTCACCCCTGCTTCCTCCCCCATGTGACATGTCTGCTCACCCCCCACCATGATTGTAGCATCCTGAGGCCTCACCAGCGCAGCCGTCTTGTGCAGATCCATGAGCCAAGTGACCTCTTTTCTTTTCTTTTTTTTTTTTTTAGTGAGAAAGCAGGATTTATCGAGGACAGAAAAGCTCTCACAGTGGGAGGGGGCCCAAGGAGGTTGCCCCTGACCTCGTTTCTTTATAAACTACTCACCTTGGGTTTTCCCTTATGGCAGCACAAAACGGACAAAACACGCTTGTCACAGACCCAGCCACCCACAGGCTAGGCTGGAGCCAGCCTGATCCCTGAGACCTTTGACCCTCGTGTTGACGTGTCCTGTAACTTAAGGCATAAGTTTCTTCTCAAGGACTAATGTGTCCTGTTTTTTGACCACGGCTTCTTGGATGGGGCCACCCTGATTGCCCCGGGCAGGATCTAATCAAACAAAGTGAATTTAATACAGGGTTCGAATACATGAGTGAGGGGAGAGTCAAGGCTTTGAACAGGGGTCATGGAGTCGGCCCAGGGGATCCCAGCCACCCGAACCCCCCACAAACACACATAGGCTGCAGAACCCCGGGAGAGGGGTCACTGGAGCTCACAGGCTGGGGTGGGAGCAGCAGGAACAATGCAACAGGCAGCAGCACAGCGCTGCCAGGAACACCCCTAAGAGTGGGAGCACCCTGGGCTCTCCTTCCCCCGACCCTTGGGTCTCCACCATGTCTCCTCTGGGTTGGCCCTCTCTGGGGATCAAGCCAGAGACTCCTCGGAGCTACAGCATCCGTTTGCAGATGGCAGGAGACATGCCCCAACGTGGCCCTGGAGAAACCTGGAGCTGGGCGCAGGCCTATCCCCAGTCGGCGGGACCGTAGGTCAATGGGAAGCCAAGGCGAGAGTGTCACCCTCCTCCTGCTGTCCCCAGGGGGCCTGGGGTCTCAGAGTGTCCTAGGCTATGCTGGCAGAGGCCTGGTCAGTGGCAAAGACCAGGTTTTAACCATTCGGCAATGCTGTGGGCCCTGCGTTGGATGCGGCCGTTAACTGCAGTTGAATTGCATGAAATTGCACTCAGTTGACTATATTCAAAGCAAAGGTGATTCAGCTCACCTCTTGGTAGTGATGGCCATCTGAGCTGTGGTGACCACACCCTCCAGCTGGGTGGGGGTCAAGTCAGCAGCCACGCCCTCCTGGGTGGCAGCTTGAGGGCCTGGAGAGGCACGGGCGCGGTACTGGCACTGCCACTTGCCAGGTGGTGCTGCAGAGAGCAGGTCCTCAGGCACGAAGCAGCACCTGCCACCCACACCCTCCAGAAACCCAGCAGCCCGCACGTCCCACCTAAGGCAGACTCAAGGCTATAGTGTTCTTCTCAGTACAAAGAGCCCCTGCCATGGAATGTCCTATCCCACCTACGGGGGGAAGTGCTGGCAACCATTTTCACAGGAGGAGGAGCAGAAAGATGGGGAGGAGGAAGGAGGGGAGGAGGTGGAAGAGGAGGGAGGAAGAAGATGGGGAGAAGAAGGAAGAGGAATGGAAAGGTGGGCAGGAGCGTCCCTGGAGGCAGCGTGCAGTCTCATGTGATTCTCCCAGCCCCTCCACGGGCCTGGGAGCTCCCGTACCATCATAAGGAAGCAGAAGTGGAGGCTCAGCCGGGCTCGGTGGCTCAGCCTGTAATCCCAGCGCTTTGGGAGGCTGAGGTGAGTGGATTGCCTGAGCC